GGTGCACTAACATGAGGTCCACATATTTAAAGCAATATAAGTACATTTCATGTAGAGTGTAGGAATTATGTAAACTACTAATTAGGCTGTGCGTGTCTTAAAGCTGTGACTAGGAACATGGGAGGACTGCTTATCTGTTCTGGTCCGTTTCTGGCCTACCTTAATAACCACAGAATCTGCTGATTACACAGTAGGACAAAATTGACTCCACTTAGGTGGGTCCCTCTTTCCCCAAACATGTAATCAAACTCCCGTTTTAAAACCTTGAAGTAGTGCTGTCCAAAGACTAATATTCTGCTGTTTTTGTGTACTGAGATTGCTGTGGTTTTGAAGCTGACCTTTTCACTATTATAAAAACATTAAGAAAACAAGAAAGGCTGTAAATGTGGTTGTGAATGTGAAAAAGTCAAATGTACCAATATTAATCTTTGTCATAAATCCACTGTAAGCTATTCCAAATGTTCTTTACTGTTTGGCTCATGAAATAGGGGATGGAAAAGTAAATCTAAAGCTTCATGTGCATTCAAGCTGTCATAAAAGCTTACTGTTAGTAAACGGGAGAGGTCTCGCCCTTGTATTTCCCTCGTCTTGGCTGTACGGTCCTGTTCCCTACTTTGTGTTGTCCCTTGACTTCCCGCTGGACTTCTACTGAGATGATGTGGTTTTCTTTCACCTGAATGACTTTTTTGCTGGGGCATTTCTTAGCTGTTCTAGTGAGTTAAAGTCAGCTCACAAGTACGTCCTAGATGACGTATAGTGAGTTAGGGTAGGAGGGAGTGGAATCCTTTCCCCTGTCGGCAGTGGTGCACACAGATGGAACTGCACCTTCACCCTTTGTTTTCTTTGTATTGTCTTAGTTACATTCTTCCTTTCTACTTTCAGCGTAAAGAAGGTAACAACTTATATTTTTCTCTTCTTACAGGAAGAGGATGATTGGAAGGAGTTTGAGCAAAAGGAAGAAATTGATTATAGTGGTCTTAGAGTTCAGTCCATGCAAATAAGGTACTACTTCTTTTTTCTTTTTCTCTCCAGTATAATCATTACCTATGTCTTAAAAAGTATGTTCTTTCTTCAGAGCTGCCTCCATGGAGTCCAATTAAACAGAGGTTTGATATGTTTCTGCTAGTACAGAAGTTTGCTGCAGGGTAACTTCGTTTTGACTGTTCTCTGCCGATGTTCTCTTTATTTTCTACATCTCTGTTGATACTCTAGGTCTACCTGTTTTGGTTGGGACTCAAATTTTTATTACAAATGCTTAACATTCCCCTCCATAAAGATAGTAAAGTAGGAATTTGGCTGAGAGAGGAGTGCATGATAGTAATTCCCACTGAATCGTAAGGTTATCTGGCTCATCTCAGTTTGGGGAGTGAATTCCTGAACCATTGCATTTTTATTTCAAAAAAATGAAAAATATAGTTGGTAAAACTAGTGTCCCATGACAAGATCCCACAGGACTGCATTTATGAGTCTCATCCAAGATTCTTTGTTTGCTTTTTTGTTAGACTGTTCCTGTAGTCTGGTCTGAAGTAAGTCTACTCCTGTCTGTCCTGGTTAAAGAAAACGTTTCATCAGGTCAGAAAAAGGATTTTTATGACCTCAGTCTTAGACTGAGAATGTCACATAATCCTCATGGTCCAGATATTGATGATGTTCAGAATAAAGCCATCTTAAAATCATCTTACCTGTAACCAGTGCAATAGATGCTTTCTTCACTGTTTGAGCAGGTCTTACATATTCTTTGATTTATTTTTTTTTAACACCCAGCTCTCGCCTGCTCCGCCCTTTCAGTTAACTAGTCCTTTTAGGCCATTAGCACGTATTTGGTCCACAAGCTCTCCATACCATTGAAGTGTCACAGCGGATAATCACATGTCTGAATGGACGAGTAACAAGTGGGCTGCTGCTTCACTGACTACTAGTACTGTTTGACTGAAAAGCAAGTACTTTGGTTTTCCAGACAAAGGCCAGCATTCTGAATGCTTTTGATGCTGTGGCAGATTTTCAGGCATGTGGAAGTTTCTGCCACAGGATTTTGTAACCACTCAGTGGATTCAGGGAGAGAGTAGAGAAGTAAATGGGAGAAAAACCCGCTGGAGGTTATAAATTATTCAGCTCTGGAGATCTCTCTGCTGAAAATAAGACACAAAGTATCTGATGGGGGTGCGGGTGGGATGTTATGTGTACTTACTCTGTTGTAGCTAGTCTGTAAGCATCTGCTTTTGGCCGTAGTTTAAAACAGGATAGTGATGCGGTTAGGTCCTTGGTCCAGATTACTATGATTGTTTCACTGATGAACAGCGAAAGGCCGTTTAATTTTCAGAAATGATAGGTATTTTTAACCGTTGTCTGATTAGTACTTACACAGAAAGCTTATCCAATCATGATTAGTAGGACTTGGTGTATTATAAACTTCTGTATTCACTTTGCTGCTGTTCAGATCAATGTCTTGGGTTTTTTTTAACAGCCTCACCCTCCACGTATGTCCCATTATACCACACAGCTTTCTGTAGTAGCTTTGTCTAGCAAACTGTTTTGAGTCTCTGACTATTTCTATGCAAAATAAAATAGTCTTAAGTAAAATACAGTCAGGCTTTTGCATAGGATTTATCTTTAAAAAAGGCCTATTTTTCTCTCTTTTTTGATTGCCTGCTTTTAAAAAAAAAATCTGAGTTGGTTTGTAGATTATACTTGTATGGGTAGTATAAGAGCGTTTCTCAGGTGATTGTGGTTATAGGGAAGGGGAGCTCAGGACTTGCTTTCCGTCACCACTTTTCCACAATTTCTTCCTCTTGACTAAAGCATTTTATGGAAGCTGGACTTTTAGCCCTTTCCTGCTTTATCGTCTCATCACTTCCAAATGCATGATTGTCTTAGTGAGAAAAAAGTCTTTAAGCTCAAAATAAGAAATCAGTTTATTTAATCACTTATTACAGTTTGGATTTGTGTTTTTTTTTAAGAACTTTTCTTCTCAGTTGCCAAGTTATGTAGCTGTGTGCCAAAAATTGTTCAGATGGAAGTACTGATACAGTAGTTACAGGACTAATGTAGTCTGGTTAAATCTAGTATCTTCAGTACAGTAGCCGTGAAGTCTTGTCTATGGCAATTGTGTAATCTCTGGCAAGTCTTAAACCTCTGTTTGTAAAATGCTACTTGTCATTTCTCTTTTATAGTGAAAAAGAAGATGATGAAAGTGAAAAAAGAGAAGAACCTGGTGACAACTGGGAGGAGACTGGTGGTGGTGTAGACAGATCATCTGGTCCTTGGAATAAGTCAGCTCCTGCACCAGCACCTGTTGTTGAACCAATTGGTAAATTTAACTCAGAGATGTTGCTTTTTCCAATCGGAAGCGTATCAGGTTGAATTAAGCTGCTCAGAGTGTAGAGCTCAAGGAGCAGTTCCTATTCAGGCACCTTCTAACATACTAATGGCTTGTTTGACATGCTAGCAAATGAGGAAATTTTCCTGTGCAGGGATCTGAGGAACTGAATTGATAGTACTGTCAGATACTTCAAATAAACACGGATGGAGGGGTTTTTATTTCTGACGTCAAAAGCAGTGCAGGGGGAAAGCATTCCATCTTTGAAGGAGATCACTCTACTTTGCAATCTGCAAATATCTGTTGGAAGCATTTCTGTTGATCTAACAATATTGCTTTGACAATTACGTGGATGTTCAGCCAATATCTGATGTCTAATATGGCAGTTCTTGAGTAGGGTTCCATGGTTAGTAGTACGCATTTCAAATCAGTTCTAGGGTACAGAGAACATGACATTGCAAAATTGATTCTTAAACTGAGATAGGACTTTAGTTTTGATTAAGTACAATTTATAAGCATCAGTGGAGATAAAATAGTTAGCCATGATCTGAGTTCAGGCTATTCTCTTCCATTGAGAAATTAATTGAAAAGTAGCCTGCTGTCTTCTTTCTTGTCTGTACAGGCAAGGAGGTAAAGTTAATTAATCAGTGTTATTTAATCAGTGTTATTTCATTGTAGATTGTTACCTTAAATATGAACCATTTGGATATTCTCTTCTGCATCTGGAGAGGTGCTTTAAATAAGATTTGGCAAATATACAATTATGTGTTTAAATCTCTAGTTTTAAATGTGAGCTGCTAATAAATTGCAAATAAGAAACATGAAGTCCTCATCAGTGGTTTTGATTCCCTGAACTTTGTGAGGCAATACACCGGAGCCACATTTTCATTTGACTACTAAGTGTAGGCTAAATTATGTGACACCTGATTTCCTGCCTTGTCTAAAATATTTTCTTCCAGAGCTTTGAAAGGTGCAAAAACATACCTGTAAGATTCTTTTCTTTTTTTTATATGTGGGGGGTTTTTTCAGATATGAATGCAAACTTACTCTCTTGTCTAAATCCTGTTCTTATAACTAGTTACAGAAACCCCAGAACCAGTTCAGACTGGTGGTGTATACAGGCCGCCTGGTGCCAGGGAGGGCGGCAGGCCACGGAGAGCACAGCAAGGACCACCAGAAATCTATAGTGATACGCAGTTTCCATCACTGCAGTCCACCGCCAAGCTTGTAGACAGTCGAAAGTAAGTACATTCCATTAATTCCCTAAAAGACATATTTTAACTGCCTTCTCTAAGTTCTTATTTTGTTTTAGGGCTTAAGCCTGAATCTTTCCACAGAGGAAAGAAATAACTAAGAAATTATTCTGTTTGGCAAAGGGATGTGGGAGAGGTCTTAACTGTATTTTCCAACTCTAGGAAGGGCTTCCCATGAAATAACTTTCATAGGACATAGCCCAGTGAGATAGCCAAACAAGACTGCCAGTTACCTTATCTTTGACTTGCTGAAGGATTTTCCTGAAACAGTATTTCTGCTCTTGGCAGCATCTGATTCCCTGAGATACTAGCCATGGTGAGGCTCTGCGTTATTACTGTCAGTAGACATGAGTAGGATGCCTTGAGCACACTGCCTTCTCATTAGAGCTGTGAAGGTAACTTAAATGGAGGAATGGGGTTTAATACAAACATAAATCAATAAACTTGCTGTCAGAGCTGTAGTTTGCAATGATGAGCCTCCCCCAAAGTATTTTGTGGTGCTGAAGACTTGAGTCTCACTCTGCTTTTGAGTCCTGATCTTTCCATAACCTCATTCCCTACAGAAGAGATAGCTAGGCCAATACCTAATTCACTCGGGGTTTGGGGTTGGGTTTTTTGGGGGGTTTTTTTGGGTTTTTTTCTGCTTGCTGTGTTATTGACTAATACAGCCTAGCAGAAGCTTTGTTTCTTCTTCTGGTTTTTTTGGTGGGGCTTTGTCTGCTTGGCAAATGAGACACGCTGTCATTGATGCTTTAGGGTTTGAACGGTGCAAATTGAGCTAAGATGAAATTCTGAGTGAGCATTCTAGAAATGGACTTCTGCTTTCTAAAACCTATTTTTCATAAATGCACTTAAATTTACTTTTGAGAATGTTAATATTGGAATTTAGAATGTAATCTGAATTGTACTGGGTGATGAGCTTGATTCTGGAGATAAGGTTTTACAGGATTTGCTTGGGAATGTTTGGCTGTTCTGTTAAAACTCTAGACCTTAGTGCTCTGTGTTCATAATGTTTTTGTTGGGATGGGGTGGAAATCGACTAGAAATTCACAATTCACAAGCTAGTGATAAGATATTTACTGATTACATTTATTTTCCCTTAGGGATAAAGAAATGGAGAAGAGCTTTGAAGTAGTAAAACACAAAACTAGAGGTAGGGATGAGGTCTCAAAAAACCAGGCACTTAAACTTCAGCTAGACAACCAGTATGCTGTGCTTGGGGATCAGTAGAGCTGCATACACATTACAATTAAGGAATGCTTTTTTGGTAACCCTTCTACTAAGGTAACTAAACTACAGCTAACGGCTATGATGAACATGCCACCTTATTTCTGCTGGATCTACTGCAGCAAGTGCAGACTACTTTGACGTAAGTGATTGGTTCTCCTGCACTATGGAAGCATAATATGTTACAACTTCTCCATTGGATATGGGGCAAATTAATGTAAATGATTGAACAAGAGTCATCAGTGTTCTTTAATTGCTCAGAAAGATACCTACAGCCAGTGGTCATTTCAAAATCTTTTTATGTTCAGATACTGAGCCTTCGTAAAGGTTGACTACCTCAGACTTGCTGCACTCATTGTGGACACCATGTGGATCACAACTTCTGGAAGAGAAGGTTACAGCTGTTTTAGTGGCCATCTGAAACTTGAAACCAGCTCTACTGGATTCCTGTCAGAAATCCTGCAGAAGTCAGCCATTTGGTTCCAATTTGCTATAACAAAGATTTAAGTGACCTTAATGACAAACCTATTCTGTTCCCCTTCTGAGGAATCCTGTCATGTGTAGCCATAGCCTACTAGAGACTTCTGGAGCGTACCATACCACTCATACTATCCAAATATAACAGAGCTGTAGTTTGTTTACCTTTTTAGATAGCTGTACTGAAGTAACTGCAAAACAAATTAAAACTCATTCAGTATCAGATTTGAGGAATGATGGGTTTGAATGGTCTGTTTGCATTAGCCATTTTCACAGTTGTCTAAGCAATTTTTTTTCTGTTCTCCACAAAAAAAATGCCTGCCTTGTTTCTGGTATCAAATTGCAGTATATTTAAATAATAATGAGATGTTGTAGTGAAATAGAGTTTACTTTGGTTTTCGTCATGAGGTTTGTCTTTCTCACCCTAAGGCACCAAGACTTAAGAGTTTTTTGGTTTGACACAGAGGTATCCAGACTCCAACTACAGTCTTCAGAATTTGTCTTAAAAATGAGATACGTGGCAGTAGCGATACTAGCTAAAAGTTTCTCTATTAAAAATAATCCTTTGTTTGTTGAAGGGTAATGGTTACTTGATAACCAAAATAACTTGGTATGCAGAGGGATAACTAAAGCTGGTAAGCCTTATTTGTTTGGCTACTTCTGTGAAGCATGCAGGCTTTCTGAGGCAGAAATCCTGTAAGTAAAACTCATAAATGGTGTTTATTCAAAGTCAGGAAGTTTAGTAATAATGGAAGGCAGTGACCTCTTTAAGTTGTTGTCATCTCTGACTTAATTTAGTGGAAGTAGGCAAAATGGCACTGATACACTAAGAATATAGGACATTGACCGTAACTCTGATTCAATGAACAAAACCTGTCAAGTACCAAAAGTGTCCTGCTGTAACTGTTTTTCTCTTCTCTGAATTCTTACACGAGCAAAATGAAGTACAATAGTGGCGTGCTCCAGTGTTGAGGTTTCTCAGAGTAAATGCCAAAAAATAGACCCAACATCTATAAGAGTTGCCAATGGCAAGAAAAACAAGGGAACAAAACAAAACTTGCTTACGTGTGTGGGAGTACTATGTATGTGCAGATGATGAGGGTAGTGCAGGAATCGCCTAGTTGGGTTCCCTTTGACTAACTGCTGACTCGCTTTAAATCTACTTCTCTGAGGCCAATGGGAATTTTGCTGTTGACTTCAGTGGGGCTGGGGTTTCACCTGGTTCTTTTGTGCACAGACTAAAACTGGCCTTGCCCTTGCGGAGTTAACTGTCTCTAAAACTTCTGCTAGAAGCTGCTATTAAAGAGAGGGCTCAAGAGACTATTCTTAAAGTTGGAGACTTCATTTGGAAACAAAACCCCACTGAAAGACTGATCCCAATCCCTTGGACTCTGAGCCATGTATCTTCCTTGAAAATACATTGTTGCCAGCAAAACTGTTGATTTGTCACTGAAGCTTTCTGTGGAATTCATGGTAAATGGACATGTCGCTTGATGTGGTAGAAATGTGAAATCTTAAAGCACTTTTCCTGATGATCTGAAGCAGTTGAAGTCACCAGTGCACACAAATCAAGTTTTAGTCTACGGTATGAAGGGTAGTAGATGAGACTGTCCGTTGTACCATCCTTATCTGAGTTTTTGGGCATGAATTCTGGCAGTTGAATAAAACCCTGTAACAGTTGCAAATCAAATAAAATGGAAATATACATGGATTCTGGAGTCTTTACCTTTAGTTCTAGCTTATGACCATACAACAGCTGAGGAAATGCAGAGCATTTGGATCTCTTAAGGGACAGGCCATGGAGTTGGGTAGTCAGCCTTATGGTCAGGTGGGCTATATTTAAGAGCTTATAGCAGTGCATATATTAATGACTTTTATTTATACATAGAAATTTAGTTTGCTTGTCAGAGTGTCTTCTTACTCCCACCATATAGGACTGGTTTGAGATTGTGAATTGAGTATGAATGAAGCTTTGATTTGCTTTTCACTTGAAAGTAGCTCTACTAAATTAAAGAATGAAAAAAAAAAAAAACCCAACAAAACAAGACAAACCTCTGGATGGTTGCTGTCACCAGAGTCCATCAGCTACTGATAACTAGAGGTGTTATTTTGGGGGCTTATCTTAAGCATATCATTCCAGGTTCTTTCTGGAGGCATAAAGGAAAAAAAATCAGAAATGCAGCAGATTTCCATAGTACAGAATGTTAAATTATTTTGAAGTGTTTCTTGTGTTAAATATCGCTGCCAGCAACTATCAAAATGCCAGTTGCCAGTATCTACCTTGTAATGATTAATTGTTCTGCATGCCTGAAATTTTGAAAGTCGGTCCTCTGTGGAAGCTCAGTATGCTTTTGAGACTCTGCAGTCCAACTTCATCTGGTTTGTTGTTGCATTCATTCAAGGCATGCTAAGAATGTCCATTTTGTTCCTTCAAAATGCTTGTTGAAGCCTCATTCTATAAATGAAGGATTGTCAGTTGTAGAAATGAGATTCTTGATACCAGTCAGTAAAATGCAGTTGTGTGCCACTTCAGGAACTTCCTAACCTGTAACATGCTTTTATAGTAGGTTAGTTATTAATTTCCAATTTAAAGGTTCCATTTTACTTTCTCTGGCTTAAAATAAAAACACAGCCATAAGGTACCGGCTCGCTAGTAGAACATTTAAATATCCAGTACTTACTGGAAAAGGAACAATTTGGATTTGTGGTTCTCGGTGATATAGTCTGTATTTAAGGAATGTTAAAATGCCCAAAACTAGATAATTTGAATAAAGTTGGACTTCCCAAATACCTGCTGTAGGAATCTGGCATCTGTATTTACTTGAGCTGATGATAAATGTAGGAGAGGATTAATTTTGTCCCACCCCACCCCCCCCATTTACCTGTGCCATGTTTAATCTTCTCAAATGAAGAGAAATTGACAACTAAAAGTGAGTCTCTCCTGCTACTTCAGTTTTGTCTTTTGTAGCTAACTTTACCAGTCATGTCCAAAGTAACTTGCTTATGAACAGTTGAATTTTTAATGGTACAAATTGTGTTAGAGACCTGACACCATAGGGAATAGGGTTTTTGGTATTTGACTCCATCTGTTGGCTCCTGGAAACTTTCACCACAACATGGCTGAGATATCTGTGCTGGTCAAGGAAACAACACAAATTTGATGGGGCTGTATGTCTTGGAGTTTGCTTATCTGAGCTTTTGCAATAGTTATATCTTCTTTTTCTTCTAACTTCAGCCTGGTTGAGCAGTTCTAAACTTGCTTGTGGTTTTCTGTCAAATACCGTAACTAAAATGGAGGAGCTGATTCTTTTTTAAGCACATGAAACCCTATTAGTCTAAAAGGTGCTTATTTACAAGGTAGTAATATTATTCTTTCCAATATTGACATGGTCAGAGAAATGAATACCTCATATTTTACATGACCAGTTTGTATCGGAGGCCCAATAAACTAAATTTTACCAAAAACACCTTGAATACTTAAAAATCTTGATGAATAGCCACAATTCAGGTTTCATCGCCTGACTGTAATTTAGTTCCCAAATTTTGTCCCTCTCTGTTTTCAGCTTTTAATTTCACAAAGTGGTTTTAATGGTAAATAGGGCCTTTATTTGGGAATATAAGAAAAAAATAACATGCATATTTACATTTCAGATGTATAAATTAATTATGTACTAAGGGGGAGGAAATTGACATATTTGCCAATAAATTCTTCAGAGAAAGTTAAGAAGTCAGCTTGTCTGTATCGAGGTTAATATGAGAACCTGCAAGCTCTAGCAGATGGAAGAAGAAATGACAGCAGAAAACAGAACTGAGGAGTCTAATACTGATTTGGATAAGTCATAACTATCATGTATCGAGAGTTTGGTTTCTGAAGCACCAGCTGTAGTTCCACCATGTTCTGTTTAAAGTGAAATAGAACAGGAAGGAAGATTTTTTTTTTTAATTAGGACAAGTGGAAATTACGCAAATAAAACACAGGAGGAATAAGAAGAGAGGGATTAGGAAGGCCATTTTCTAAATGATAGCATTAAATGCATAGCCTGAGGTAGGGAGGGGAGTGTAAGTGGTTGGATAGGAGAAGTGCAGGGTAAGCACTGCTTTCACATGTGACAGATCCATCTGACTTTAAATCAGCAAAAGTGTTTGAAGTTCAGTACTTGGCGAAGGCATCCCATTTTTTTTTTCCCCTTTAAAGAAAAGAATCAGGAAAACCTGTCCAGAGAGAAGGTAGAATTCTGCATTGGTACAAGGCTGTCTAACCAGTTGCTTAAAGAGCGAACTGAGAAAGGACAAATTCCAAGATAGTTCAGCAATCTTATTAGGATATAGCTTGTTTCATACTTGAGAAAACTCTTTCTCACTTCTGCATGATAAAAAGCTGAGACACCGATTCAAATTGCTATGAAGACGTTTCCTTTTTTTGTGAAGCATCTTCAATGGTACGTGTATCACGGTTTTATGTTCAGTTGCTTAGAATATATGTTGATTTAGCAAGGTTAATGAAGTTCAATGGGCTACTTAGCCAGAATACAAATATTAAAAATGTATCACAGTATTAATGAATCATCAGCAAAAGCAGTGCATCTGGAATGCTGGAATGGAAAGTATAATCTAAAACAACTGCGTGCACTGAAAAGAAGCAAGCCCATTTTGTAGCAAGAGCATAGGACCAAGAGAGTAGGATTTGGCCTTGGTTTTCCACTGAGCTGCTGTGTCAACTTCAAGTAATTTAGTTTCACTTTGCCTCTGTTTCCCCAGCTGTACCAAAAAACCCCAACAACCTACCTCACAGGGGTGTTGTGAGGCCAAAGCTGTTCTTTGTTCAGGGCTGGGGCTGATGGAAGGTGCTGCAGAGGACTAAAAAAATCTTTATTAAAAGATCTTTATATTAGCTTTCATTACAGTATTTTAATACTACTTTGGGAAAGGCTTATTTCTACAGAATGTAATACACATTCTATTTAAGTATTATGTAATTAGTCTTATTTTAGTGTGTATGGGTAAGGAAAAAGTTCAGGCTGAGCACTCTGTTATTTCCTCTCTTTAATTATCTGTGCAACCAAATTAATACGAGGCTTTTTGTTTTTATGTGGAATACATTACAATCAATATTGCTACATTTTGTAAACCCCATGACTGAAATAAAATCCTGCTCACAGTTGATAGCCATCTCTTCTAATGTGGCTGTTTTAAAGTTTGTTCAAATATGTGAACTAGAAATGTTCACTCCTGAAAGTATATATTTGTGTCAGGATACCAAGTGGTATTTTGTAGTAGGAATGTAGTTTTCTTCCCCTCTCCACATGTAAACATACATTTGTCCTATTCTTTATCCTTTCCCATATTTAAGTTGAAGTAGCATGCAGGTACAATGGAAATATGGGAGAGAGAGTAATCTTACCAGATTCTAAAAGTTCTGAGGTTATTAAGGCAGTGGAGGAAAAACATGAAGGGAATAAAACAAAGGGAAATAGTTGCCTATGGAGATGTTTCTGTGAAACAGATAAAGGAAAGAAATGATCAGAAGATAGAGCTGAGAGGGGTAAGCAGAGGGATAGGTAGGAGGGGAAGGAATACAGACACAGAAGATGTGATTACCCTGTTTACTATCATCTCCTGTTTTATCAGTTAACTGCAGCTGGAGGAACATGAAGAAATAATTTTTATGAGTAGGCCCTTGTCTGCTGTTGCTGGTGATTTCAAGGTTCATCACTCAGCTTTTACATTGGACCTCCAAATGGAAGCAGAGAACGTGATGGTGGTATGCACGCAGACAAGTTAGACCTCTGGTGGGTCCTGGACAGAGATGAGGCCCAGCAGCTATCCTCCCTTGCTGATACTATCATTGCAGCACCTCTAAGACAGTTGTTAATGTGCATCAGCTGTGGCAATTCTCTGTCAGAAATGATTACTCTTAAATTTCAACACACTATTGCAGTTGCTTCAGAGGAAATGTTTAACTAGCTGAATAATAAGCATTAAGAAATAACACAGGGGGCTTTTTGGAATACTTATAGTGATGATGATGAATGATACTGAGGTCAACAGATTGGTAGGTGGCTTAAAAAGACTGAGGTATATATCCTGTTATATGGTGAGAAGGAGAGTTACTTTTAAGATGCATATCATCTATTCTTTTCCCCTCTTAACAAATAAACTGCCTTGGTCTTACTGTCTTTCCAGCTATGAAGAGCTGCTTCTACTGTTCTCTTATCACTTTCCTCCCTGTATTTTTCTAAATGTCACTTTTTTTAAGGTGCTGATGAAACAGCAAATACTCATTGAGGACCTCTAAGAGAAATACATGCTGTAATATTTTTCCATATTGTTCTGTCTTTAATACAGCCTAACATCTTATTCGCTTTCTTGACTGCAACTACACATTGAGCAGATGTCTTCATCGAGCTGTCCATGGTGATGCCTAGATCGTCCCCTTGAAAGTTCACAGCTAATTCAGAATCCACCAGAGCATGTATGAGTGGTTTAAAGCCTTTCCAGTATTCATTGCCTTGGGTTTATTTTCTGTTGACGTTCACTTGCCACTGAATTGCCAAGTTTACAGAGTTAGTTAGCTTACCCTGGCAATCACCATCTTCCCCAGTGCTGACAAACCTAATAACTTTCTATGGGCATTGGCTTCTGCCATCCGATATACTGAAGTCTTCAGTTTCGTGTATATAATTCACTCTTCTTCCCAGTGACTAGCATGGCATGCTCTTACTAACTTTTACTCAATCTGACCTTTTCTGTTCTGTTTCTTGTCTCCTATCTTCTGTACTGAATTTTCTTTCTAGCTCAGTTATAGCATTGAAGTCATCGAGTTATAACTGTCTGCTTTATTTCAAATAATTTGCCTACAGAAAACTGTTAGTTAAAATGTTGTCATAAGCTTCCTTTTTTAATTAAAACAAGTCACTTATTCTGTATCTCTTTCAGAGTATGTACAACCATTAACAAAATGATCCAAACCATAAAAACAGGCTGATACAAGAGAACAAATGCATTGAGAAACAGGTAAAATGTACATGAATCTGATCTCCTGGAGCTTAACTTCATTGCTTTCAGTGGAGTTATTTCCGTCACTTGAGATCAGTTTCATTAAAACTTGATTTGAGCTCTTCTCACTTGAAGTCTAGATACAACAGCCAGAATCAAGCGCAAGTGAACAAACCCCATAGCAAACTTGTTTTACATTTCTGGCTTACTCTGCACTTTGTTTGTGGCAGAGATGAAGCAGATGTATTACTTCGTCTCTGACCAGCAGCCAAATGAGCTCAGCCACACTTTGTCTAACACACCTATTTTGGTATTTAACTGGACATTGAAATTAGATTAAAATATTTGAGATGAAGATGAGTGCAGCAACACTGGGCAGCAGGCTTAGTCTTTGTGGTTTGTTTCATCTCTTCACATTCTCATCTTGTACTTTAAAGATCGTACATCTGTAAATAAGGTTAAGTCTTTAAGTGCTGACTGCATTTACCAGTATTGCTACATTTATAAATACAAAGGAGGTGTCATGAGGCGAGACTCAAGCCTGTTAGGATGTATAGCCTACCACTTAAGAGCTGCACTGTCTCAATATCGGAACACTGTATCATATAGAACAGCTGCTTTCCAGTACTAATAATGATACGTGGTTGAGAAGAATGCACCTTGGATTTTGCATCCAAATAAATTGTATCTGTTCTATTACAGCAGTTACTAGTATTCTGTCAAAAATTGTGGCTGCTGGGAGTTTATAAAGTTGGCAAATTGGAGCTGAGGTTTTTTGTTAATTTTGAGGGGTGGAGGGGAAATAGAGCAGATGCAGTGATATCTGATAGTTGTTAGAACGTAGTACTTCATACCCTCTCCCGCACATCTGGAAGACTCATGTCTGCTGCTACATTCACCAAAGCCCTGTCTTGCCACTGTAAGTCCTTACTGTGTTATTTACTAACCACCCAGTAACCTTCAGGACTGACTAGTTCTCTGACTGTGCACTGTGTCTGTAATCTGGGAATTAGGTAAAAGGCAAACTAGCTTTGCAAAACTGGCACGACAGTGTTTTCTAGATAATTGGCTCTGCTAACTTTTTTTCTGCAACTCAAAGCCCAGCAACAATCTCTTGATTTGACCTTTCTTCACCCTAGAGTATTCCCTTCTTCTTTCGTTCATCTACATTATTGCCATGCCAAGGATTTCTAGTCAGGTGCCTGAATTATTCACCACTTACTTAGAAAGCAGCTCTATAAGCAAGAACTCCCAAGTCTCGATCATGCTGTATTTCTTCCATCAGGGCTCTAGCATCACAAACACGGCTTCATCTGTTGCAAAATTGCTTAGCAAGTAAATGTCGTCTCCGTGAAGAATTTAAACCTAGACCCTCAAAGGCTACGTGGGAGCCTAACTCCCGCAGAACACAGCAAAATGAAGGCAGTCAGCTATGAAAAGAAGTAGGGTTGCATGACTGGTAACATGCTAGCTCAAACAAAACTCTTACCTGGACAGCAGGGTCTAGCCTAAAACATTTTTATTTCTTTTAATGAAGAGATGACTGAGTGAAGAATAGTAGGAGGACATCTCTAAGTGAAAAAAATATTAAACTGAATTTGCTTTCAACAACGCACCAGAATGTCTCACCACCAGACTTAACCTGAAGAAATGAAGATAAAGCCATCCGAGTGCTTACTGTAGTGCAAAAGAAAGACCGATACTGTCTGGCTGGGAAAATGGTTGGCTGGGAGCCTGCTGAGCACAGCAGAAACTGTTTCAGCAAAGTAGAGTACAATGTGAACTATTTCTGAGGATCCCTGTGTGGCCCCCACAGTTAACACAGGAACCTAATGGTGCCTGTATATTTATATAATTATATGTTTATAGTCATAATTTAAGTTCAAAACCTGAACTATATATATATTTTTTGTCAGTAGATTTTTTTACCCTGGTTTACCTATCATGGCTTCTGCATATGACAACTTCTAACTGTGCAGTGCACACACCTGTTGTTGTCTTTTTGTCCCATGTTAGAGTAATGGTATCAAACTCTGTAAAGCACTTTTGTGATGTTTCCTGTGAAGAAAGCTGAAGAAAATAAATTTATCTTAACAGCACCAACGGAATTTACACCTCCAAGTCTGTCTCGCTTTTGTTCTGTTCACCCCTCTCTTCAGGGACTGAGCAATCACAGCAGTCAGCGGCAGGGACAGCAGCGTGCTGGTTGTCAGGGCGTTGTTCTAGGCTCAGCGCAGAAGAGGGGCTGGCTCTGGCTGTTGACAGCTGCTTTCTGCCTCTGTTCCCCCCAGTGCTCCCTCGCTGTCCTTCCTCCTTCACCATAGCTGCTTAGTGCCTGCCTTCCTTCGCCCTGGCTTACAGCCAGCGTCCACCTGGGCAGCGCGTGCTGTGGCCTGTATGTGGCATACGGATACATGCAAGCTGAGCAGATGGCTGGAGAACAGGTAATGCTCAGATCCCACATTACTGGTCCCACTGGGGGTTGGCATGTGTCTGATTTTAGCTGCGCCCCTTCTGGCCTGCCCCCAGGATTCACAGCAGCTGCAGGAACTGTGTCTCCAAGACTTTCTTTAAAGCTTAGCTAAGTGGGTCAGGGAGTGGTTTCTTATCTGTAAGGTGATAAGAGCAGCACTACCCTTCTACAGCAGCTTCGGCTGAGGACTGGGAAGAAAGAAAAAAAAAAAAGTCACAGGACCCTCAGGTCTCACCTACTAATATCCACATCTCTTTAAAATGCCTGCAATGCAAGGCAGCATTTTGGAGGTAGAACAGAGAATTGCCAGTGAAATAGAAAGTTAATTCAAAATGTGATTTAAGGCATTAACAGCAGCATTATTTTCAGTATGCGGACTTTGAGCAAGTTGGAGGTGTTTGACATCCACAAATAGCAAAAAGCATCAAGCTGTTAAGATCAAGAAAAGCAAAGCAGGTGACAAAGACTAGTCGCTGCAACTCAACGTAGCAATCTAGCCACAGCCTAAGCCTCCACTGATAGGGGCACAGACTTCACTTTTAAAAAAGAATCAAATCCCTCACATTCATTGGCATCTTTCAGTCCTTCCCGAGAACTCCTCCAGGTCATCCCGACAGCATGTTGCAGAGCTCACTGACAAAACATCCACTGCACTGAAGTAGGAAGCAGAAGCACAAAGTACAGCCTTGCACATAAAGGCAAGCTGCCTTCCTATTCTCTCTCACCTGGAGACTGCCACAGCTCAGGTCCCTTGTCCCTTACCCCCAGCAGCAAGGAGATCGTTCTCCCCAGCCTAGAGCAAGACTCTCCAGATTGCACAGGTCTTACATGCTTGTGGCTCCTCCTTTCTTCTATTTGCAACTGATACTGATGCAAAGACTTTCTACAAAAGAGTATTCAGCAGCTAGAAAATAAAAGTAGAATATACCCCCCTTCAAAACAATAGGGGTAAATTAAATAGACTTTAAAGA